GTCTGCAATGACGGCATGTACAAGTTGTTGTCACTGCTGTTGCCTTCACTTTAGCTGCGGCTTCTTTACATGCAGCATACATGACCCAAGGGGATTGTCACGTAGCCTTCCCTGAAGAGATGCGGCGAATCCATGCACCATCTTTTCACAGGTTTAGGGTTTAGGGTGTTTAGGGTTTTGGGTTTAGGGTTTAGGGTTTAGGGTTTAGGGTTTAGGGTTGCAGAAGAACAGCACGATGCAACTGTCCCACTGCTGCAAAAGCTTGCGTGCCTCACTGACCACCTCGGCCATGAACTTGTGCCATTTCTTGTCCGCTGTCAACTAAACAATATGTTTCCCCAAACCCTAAACCCTAAAACCCTACACCGTAAAACCCCAAACCCTAAACCCTAAATTCTAAACCCTCAGCCCTAAAACCCTAAAAACCCTAGAAACCCTAAAACCCTAAAGCCCTAAACCCTAGAACCGTAAAACCCTAAAAACCCGAAAACCCTACAAACCCTAGAAACCCTAAAACCCTAAACCCTAGAACCGTAAAACCCTAAAAACCCGAAAACCCTAAAAACCCTTGAAACCCTAAAGCCCTAAACCCTAGAACTGTAAAACCCTAAAAACCCGAAAACTCTAAAAACCCTTGAAACCCTAAAACCCTAAAGCCCTAAACCCCAGAACCGTAAAGCCCTAAAAACCCGAAAACCCTAAAAACCCTAAACATGTTTGCAAACTCTTCAGACCCTTACACGCATCCCCCACGAGCTCCATGTTCTAAAGAAAAGAAAGGGTTTAGGGTTTAGGGTTTATAAGGGCATAAGGGCCTTAATAATTAGAATAGGGTTTGGGGCCCCTTATACTATACTTATAATAAGGAACCCCCAGAATAGTATTGCCCAATTATTCAGGCCCCTGCATTAAGCCCTGAGTCGGAGTTCTACTGCTTTGTCATAGTCTTCCTGGCGGCGGGGGATCCTGAATGTATGGCTTTAGGGTTTCGGGGTTAGCACTATACGTACAATTACTCAATACATGTAGGTGCGTGAGGATTTGGTACGAATTTTTCTTGATGGTGCCAAATATGGAACTACTACCATGCAAACTGAGGGCGATGTGCTTGAGCGCTGTGGTTCTTCCAGGCTGATTCAAACGAAGGGTCAGATCCAAAGAACAAGAAACCCCAAAGAAAAAGCAACGTCAACCACGCGCCTATGGTGCAGTGCTTGCAGTTGCTGGGCAGCACTTTCATTCCATCCTGGTGCACGATGTATGCATTGCTCTAGGGCCACTGCAAAGGCAGCAGGTTTAGGGTGTAGGGCTAGGGTTTAGGACATATAAGTTTAGGATTTAGGGTTTAGGCTTGCAGGACTACAACAACAAACCGGACAATAGCTTGATATGAAATGAATCATTCGGTGCTGTTCCGGCTTCTGGGGGTTTCGGGCTTAGGAGGATGGGTTGCAAAGGACAACGGAGTGTTGTCTAAGCAAAGGTTGCAGGGTAGATGCCGAAATACTAAACCCTAAACCCCAACCCGTTCCTTCACAGGGATTTTCAAGATGAGGATCCTACTATGTGGGATTCTTCACGAGAACTCCGACTTTCGCAGGGCCCATGGGTAAAGCCGATTGCCCTAAACCCTAAACCCTAAACCCTAAACTCTAAACATTCAGAGCTGTGGGTCTTGACGACTAAAGAGCCCCGGGCTCTTTGGCAAGGTGAAGATCTAGGTTTCAGCTCGGGCGCTTTTACCCTAAACCCGAAATAGAGGCCTTGATAACTAGAATAGGGTTTTGGGGTATAGCATACTGTAACTATAAGAAGGAACCCCTGCAAAATAGTATAGGTCATTATTTGGGCCCCTGCAGCAAAGCCTGAACCCTAAGACCAAAATTTCATGTGCGGTGCGAACTCTTTCTGACATGCACGCACATCGGTCGTAACCATCTGGGTTCGGGTCGTCCGGCCTCTACATCCCGAACACCGAGAGGCAAACAAGTTAGAGTCCTTAGTCTAAGGTTGAACCCAGGGGCCACTAGTATGGGCCCTTACCCTATATGTACCCTTAAGGGTTCCTAGAAAGGCCCAAGGGTCTATATTAGGGGCCCATACTTCTAACCTTAGAGTTAGAGAGCACCAAGACCGTCAGACCTGCAGAATCCCTTTTAGAACCACTGCGGCCGGCGGGCCGTACCGACGCATGGACCACCCCAGACACATCTGCAAGAAACCGTAAACCCTACACACCTCAATAAACTGCACATGAAACCTTGCATTCCCCTCATTAGACCATGAAAATAAAAAAGAACTGCCAATAGAACTATATGGGCCTTCATAACTAGAAAAGGGCTTGGTGTATACTATACTATAACTATAGTGAGGAACCCCCAAAGCCCTATTCTAATTACTAAGGCCCCTACATGAACCCTAAACCCTAAACCCCTAAACCCACAAACTCCTGAACCCTAAACCCAAAACCCTATTGAAACTACTAAGGCCCCTACAGCTACTGCAGGGACCCAGAGACTCCAATATCCCTTAATTAAGGAATATACCTTAAATTATAGTAGGATCCTTAAAATGATTTAAGGTATATTCCTTAATTAGGGGATATTGGAGTCTCTGGGGACTTGGGCTAAACCCTAATCCCTAGACCCTAAACCCGCAAACCCCCGAACCCCATACCCAAAACCCTAAACCCTAAACCCTAAACCCAAAACCCAAAACCCTAAACCCTAAACCCTATCCTTTAAAGGAGCCCTAAGGCCCCTACAGCTACTGCAGGGACTTGGGCCAGCTGCTTTCGGCAGGACCCGCCTCGCCCAGCAAGCCGGCATCGTCACCGTTCAGCGTGACGCCGACCTCAAGCGATGTGGCACAGTGCAGTGAGCTCTAGCCCTAAACCCTAAACCCTAAACCCTAAGCCCTAAACCCTAAACCCTAAACAACTAAACCCCTAAACCCTTCAATCCCTAAACCCCTAAATCCCTAAACCCTAACCCCTGAACCCCTAAATCCCTAAACCCTGAACCCGAACCCCTTAACCCCTTAACCCCTAAACCCCTAAACCCCTAAACCCCTAAACCCTAAACTGTGTTAAGCTTTCGGCCTCCAGCCGTCAACCATGGAGCCCTACACTATGGCATCTTGCTTGGGGCGGGTTTTTGACTAACTTAGTTGCTGAGTTGATAAGCCCCAAAAAGTGTGCACTTTCAGTTCTATAAGAGATCATATTATCCCAAAAAGTGTAAAGTGTGCTCACTCAGCTACTAAGCTAATGGGATGAGGGTCCTTGTAAGAGCCGAAGTTTCCTTTTCCCCTCTGCTTTTGCAAGGGCTTTGACAGGGTTTTACAAGGGGTGTAAACCGATGTCTTAGTGGCTGAGTAGGTAACCTTCAACCTTTTGGGGCTCTTATAATCCTACTCTGATTCCAAAGGTTAAACTTTTTTGGGCTAGGGTACTCAGCCCTAAACCCTAAACCCTAAACTCAGCCCCTAAGAAAAGGCCCCTACATTAGGGTACTCAGCCCTTAAGATGGTTAATGGCTTCTAGGGGTTCGACGGCCTGAATAATTGGAATAGGGTTTTGGCGTATTTGGTGCTATAATTAGCATAAGGGAAGCCCAAAGTAGTATTGGTAATAATCTAGGTTTCTTGACTAAAGCCGTGAAGCTTCACGAGCGCCAGCGGCCCGAACCCTCCCAAAACGGCGTGTGAGGCCCCAATTTTTCAGAGCCCCACCCAAAAAAAATCGAAACCCGAAGTGTTTAGGGTTTAGGGTTTATGGTTTAAGTTAACCACCTAAGCTCTGGAAAACCCCTGCTTAAACCCTAAACCCCTCTCCGTCTCCTTCGGGTCTGAGCACCCCAGCCCAGAAAAAAGGTGAATCTCCACGTTATAGTAGGATTATATAAGCCCCAAAAAGTCAAAAGTTACCTACTCAGCCCTTAAACCCTAAACCCTAGATCCTAAACCCTAAACCTCTCAACCCTGAAGCCTAAATCCTTAAACCCTAAACCCTAAACCTCTCAATCCCCAAACCCCAATCCCAAACCCTAAACCTCTCAATCCCCAAACCCCAATCCCAAACCCTAAACCTCTCAATCCCCAAACCCTAAACCACGGAGCTTGGCTCCCGACACCCACCACGCCGGCGCCGCAGCAGGACGAAGAGACCTTGGGTCGCTCCAGGAAATTCTAACCCAAACCACAAAAAAGCAAAGAAGGATCCCCAACATTGACCCAGCTTTGCGAACTTTCACTCTATCCCCAAAGCTCACACGAGCCCTAACGCCCCTAGAACCTAAACCTTAACCGGACTAGTCCCAAAACCCAACACCCTAAATCAAAACCCAACACCCTAAATCAAGCGTTTCAGGCTTAGGTTTAAGGCTTTTAGGATTCAGGGCTTAGGGTTATATACGAGGTTAGGGCAGGGCTTTGGGTTCAGGGTTTTGGGGCTTTAGGGCTCAAGGCCTGGGGTTTTAGGGTTCGAGGCCTCGGACCCTGCGACAGCTGAGGGTGCGCACGTGCAGCATCGGCGGCTCCTCCGGCGTCTCAGCGTCAGGCGGAGCCTCCTGAAAGCGAAGATGGAATGCTGTCGCCCCTGCTCCTCCTGCTGCTGCCGCTACTACTACTGCTGCTGCTGCTACTACTACTACTACTGCTACCACCTTTCGTTCCCATCCTTGGGCTCCCAAGCTTAAGCAAAGCTGGTTGCAATCCGTTACCGCAGCCTTGGTCTAGGGTTTAGGGTTTAGGGCTTATAGGAGTTTGGGGTACGGGTTTACGGTTGAAGGGTTTAGTGTTTATGGTTTAGGGTTTAGGCCCCGCCCTATTTCTTCTTCAGTCTGTAGCACCCTAAGCCCCAAGCGGCAACCAAAAAGGATCTCTAAAGCACCGATACGCGTAATATAAGGGTTTAATGGTACATAGTGCACATCGGCCCTAAACCCCATCTAAACTCCCAAGCCAAAGCCCTATGAGGCCTTGGAGGCATCTTCTTACAGGAACCCTCGTAGCGACCCTGACAGGAACCCTTGCAGGAGGTCTTGAAGGTATCCTTCAAAGGGAAACCTTAAAGGGGACCCTCAAACCAGGGACCCTTAAAAGAACCACTATAATTACAGGACTCCCCCCAGACCTAAACCGCTGAAAAATGCACCCTAAACCCTTAACCTCCAAACCCTAATGTAGGGGCCTTAATAGTTTAAAAAGGGTTTTTGGGGTTCCTTCTTATACTCATAGTGTAATATACCCCCTTATTAAGGCCCATCCCTAAACCCTAAACCCTNNTAAACCCTAAACTCTAGACCCTTAACCCTAAAACCCCCCCTCCCTTATCGGCTCTCCGGCGCCAGCCGCGCAAGCCAAAGAGCTGGCGCACCGCTCTCTGCAAGCTTTGCGAGACCTCGCCGTGGGATTCGGTTTAGGGTTTAGGGTTTAGGATTTAGGGTTTAGGGTTTAGGGTTGTGTAAGGGCTCTTGACCTTGAGGCTTTCACGGGTTTCGGGTTCAGGGTTTAGGGGTTTGAGGGCTTGGGGTTTGAGGTAAGATAAGGGTTGTATTGGGTTTCATGATGGTGTTCTAAGCCGTGGTCAAAACCCAGAGAGCCAGCACCCTGCAATTAAGGGAAGCGGTTCTTGAACCCTAACAATAAGTCGTAAAAAGTTCAACCATGTTCAAAGGAATATATACTTAGTTCAGGCTTTGTACGACTTCTGGCTGGCCTTCGGGTCCGGGTACCCAAATGCTAGAAACTTTGTCCCCAAAGTACATCTCTCTCTCTCTCTGTATATATATATATATATATATCATATATCGGGCAACTTTCATGTTAAAGTATCTTCTAAATGAATACATGGACCCGGTGGGTTGGATTTCGGGAAAACTCTTTGATTAAAGGCTACCGTGCTCACTGGAACAGGAAGCCAGAACGATGGGGGTTTAGGGTCTATTTAACGAATATTGGTTTTGGGGCTTTGGGGTTTTAGGGTTTAGGATTTTCGGGTTTAGGGCTGGGGGTTTGGGTCTAATCAGGCAGGGCGGTCGGGGGCTTTCTGCTCGAATTCTAAGACGTGGAACATCTAGCCTCACAGGCTCACTCACTGCTGCCTAGAGTGCAACGAAGGCTTTGCATGTAAATCGCTCGATTTCGTGCTTAGAGCCCGTAGGGTTCATACAGGATTTGGAGTTTGGGGTTGGTTCTGTAGGTGGGGCCTACAAGGGCCTGAAGTTGGGGGGTTGGTTCTGTAGGTGGGGCCTAATTAAAGCCTAAACCCATCGCAACACCAAAGCTTGCAAGGCTTTAGCACTGCCAGGATGCTACCAGGCACTTCCAAGACTGGATGCACATAGCGATCCCGGGCAGTGGCGGCGTCTTCTGCGCCTTCGCTCACGAAGCCCGTGCAGTGCAGGCGGCGTGGCTACTTCATACACCGAAGTGTGTGAAGGCGCTCACAAAGCGGGCATGTGGCCCCCTTTTTTTGTCATTGCGACAGAGTGACGTAGTAGAAGAAGTTGTGGTCGTAGCCAGGTTCCATATTCAGCGCCCCGCAAAATTCGGCCAACTGAACCAGGTTTGAAAAAAAAACAGACAAAAAAGTGGCCCGAATGCTAACCGACAGAATTTCTGAAGCTCCCACCTGCTGTTCCGCATGCAAAATGGACTCTCTAATGATACCGTAATAAAGGGTATTACCTGTAGTCTCCATTGTAGTTCCTTTTTGGGGATACCTTATAAAATCCTGAATATATAGTTGGTTAAACCAAAAAAAGGAACTACAATGGAGACTATAGGTAGAGTGTCGGAGCTTTTAAGGTTTAGGACCCACCGTAAACAAGACCTGCGGGCATCCTTATCACAAGGACCGCAAAGAAGATACGCCTAATTCCAAAAGAGCCCTACAACCCATCTCTTCCACTATCAGCCTCAAAACCAACCATACCACTTCATAGAACACGGTTCTTAAGAAGCCACCTACCGTTGCTGAGAAAATGGCGCGCAACTACGCACTCGCTCAAGCTGCGGGCGGCATGCAGCACCTCGGCCATCTGGGCTGGATTTCGCAGTAGTAATAGTCGTCGTAGTCGTCGGCGTCGCTATGGTACTAGTACCAGTACTAATACTGGTAGTAGTAGTAGTAGTAGTAGTCGTCGTCGTCGTCGTCGTCGTCGTCGTAGGTGATAGTCGTAGTGGTAGTTGCAGTGGTAGTCGTCGTAGTAGTAGTAGTAGTAGTAGTAGTAGTAGTAGTAGTGGTAGTAGCAGTAGCAGCTGTAGTAGTAGTAGTAGTAGTAGTAGTAGTAGCAGCGGTAGTAGTAGCAGCGGTAGTAGTAGTAGTAGTAGT